ATAGATGCGATTATTTGAGACAGTTAAAATGGAGGAAGAAAAGCTGCTATTATCAAAATAACAATGAATGCTTTAAAAATAATGATTTGACGCTGTATCTCCAGGTGTGGGTTTTATTCGCTTTTTCTTTGAATAATTCGTTTGAAAACGGAATCGGTCATTCTCCGCATGTTTATAAAGGTTAAAAGTATGGAAATTTTCTTATTGAAATGGAAAACATTACTTTAGAAAACAGCACAATGTGCGCAATGTCCTTTCAAAAGATACTGCCACACAAAATTTTGCTCTTCGGAAAATTCCTCAGCAGCGAAAAAAGCATTTAAACGCGATTACCACATTAGAATAATATTTTTCAATCATTTTTCTTTCGTAAGCAATGCAATAACTGCATAATGGTAAGGCCATTTCTTTTTTATGCGGTTGCCCAAACAAGAGGGAATTAAGAAAGCTAAAAATCGGCGTTTTCAAAAAATTAGAATAAAATTTGAGCTTAAAAAACTGATGATTTTAGACCTCTGTTTGCCGATATTCGATTAGTGTTTTTTACATGAATACACTCGACAACAATCACTAATTCTAAAAAAAGATCAAAAAATTTAAGGGCTTGAAAGTGTGACGGTGTATTTGGACGGATGCGGAATGATGGCGGCCATGGGTGTCGACTTGACCATGCGTTTTTGCGGAGACCTTGAAACAATAAGATCGTTAACGGCATGGATAGTCCTCGCTTTGTAGTTTAACATACGCACAAATTTTGGCAATTTTTAAGCCAATTGCTGGATGTTACGAGGGAGCACAGTTAGCTAACAACTGAAATGATAATCCTGTACTGCGGGGCCGTGTAACATTTCTTTCTCCAATATGCATAATTACAGTGAGAAGAGGTTACAAATTTCTCGGAGCCTCAAGTTTGTAGTGCACTCACACGGGATGCAGGCGTTTGTGAAGATGGTATTCAACGATATTATTTTGCTTGCTGGGATTTTTTTTTAGCACTCTCCTTCTGGTACCTAAATATCAATACTGTTCCACGCCTAACCTGTCATCAAAATTACGATTCCCGCAAAAAAATACTTATAATACCAAAATTGCCCGACGCAAGCAATATGGAACTGCGGTGTCACTACTACGTACATCCATGTCACGCACAGTTATGGCGCTTGCATTATCCTGGTTTGCCCCTCCAGTAACTGAACGTTGTTTGTGTTCTAAGGACCGATCGAGTCATCGCTTTCCTTCTCGTGAGTGCCGTTCAGTGCATGGTGTCCACCGATTGTCAGTGAATTGAACAATCACGAGGACTCGTAAATCGGATTGTGTTCCTTCTTTCCTAATTGCAGTGATATCCTGCACAACGCAGATTGTACGACGAGTCTAGTTCATTGTACAGTATCGAAGAGACATGCCAAGCATCATTCGATCCGTCGCTCTCTCCGCCACAGCAGCATACGCTTTTGTCAACTGCCAAAAGAATTGCTTAAAAATGAAAGTGGTACTTGAACATGAGTGGATTCACTGTTTTTCGATAACGATAGCACAAACCCTTTTAATTCCTCTTATTTTGTGGTAAATCAGATGTATTTTTACACCAGCCGCTCAATTTTTACAG